GATTAAAAACCAAGACCAACAGCAGGAACACTTTCCAGATTTGGTCCCTGCTGGGGTTGACAGTGTCTGGGGGGAAGGACAGAGAGCATCTGAGTGTGTTTCCAGGGAACATTTGATGTTCACGTACAAACAACTGCAAGGACCTGCGTGTCTGTTGGTGCCGACAAGGCTGTGCAGGGCCACAGCTGGGCTCTGAGGCCTTGGCCCTGCTCACCACCGACTCCACCCGGAAGTCTGGTCAGGATTTTGGCCATGCCCTACTCTTCTAGACCACACATCTGGACAAAGGGTGCCCCCCCCACAAGATATAGACCTCCTACAAAAGGGCCAAGCACCCACCCTGGATGCTGGAGTCCCTGACACAGGATTTGCACTTGCTGGGGCATTCTCTGTCACACTCAGCAACTTCCTGTTCAGGATCTGATGTGTGGTGTGAGACCCAGGAAAGCAGTGAACAACAGGGAGAGAGAGCCACATCCCTCCAGAAAGGGTTTTATTAATCCATCCAGTGCAAAGGAGGAGGGAGGGAGAGGAGAAGCTCGACAGAGAGGTGAGGCACCTCCTCCCAGGGGCTGTCCCTTCTTGATGCTCCTGAGCATCCCCGGGAGCCCAGTGTGGACCTAACCCTAACCCTATACCCTAAACCCTAAACCCGAACCCTAACCTTAACCCTAAACCTAAACCCTAAACCTTAACCCTAACCACTAACCCCTAACCCCTAACCTAAACCCTAAATCCTAAATCCTAACCCTAACCGGTAAGCCCTAATGCTAAACCCTAGACCCTAAACCCTTAACGCTAACCCTAACCCTAAACCCTAAACCCTGACCCTAAACCTTAAACCCTAAACCCTAACCCTAACCCTAAACCCTAACCCTATCCCTAAACCCTAAACCCTAACCATAAACCCTAATCCCAACCCTAACCCTAACCCCTTAACCTTTAACCCTCACCCCTAACCCTAGATCCTAACCCCTAACCCTAACACTAACCCGAACCCTAACCTTAACCCTAACCCCTAATTCTAACCCTCTAACCTAACCCCTAACCGTCATTCCTAACTTTAACCCCTGGTCCTAACCCTCTCCTTAAGCTTCAACCTGATGCCTAACCCTCACCCTTACCCTGACTCTAACCCTCTTCCTGTCCCCTAACCCTTACGCTGACAGTTTCAAACCTTAACGTGAAATTCCAATCAGTACCTTCCTTCCAAATCCCAAACCTGGACTATAATACGAAACCTGAACTGGAAGTCTGACTCCTGGTCATTAAGTCCTATTTCCTAACCCTTTTTCTTAAATCTAATCCTAACCTTTTTATTGTCTCTCATATGCCACTAGGTGGCAGCAGGGGACAGGCAGAGCAGGGCCAGGCCACATGGGAGGGCAGGATTCTAATACCCCCAGGAAGGCTCTCTTGGGATGCTTTGGTTTGGGGCCCTCTGCCATGCCCGCCTACCTGGCACTGTCTCCTCCAGGGTCTTGGGTCTTCCCTGGTGGGCCTGGCCACAGAGACTGCGGCCCCTTCCTCATTTCCTGCTGTGACCAGGCCCCAGTGGCAGCCCCGCTACACCCCTCAGACCCTCTAGGGCCATCTCCCAACCCCTGGACGCTGCCTCCGACGTCAGGCCTCCTGTGGCTCTCGGCCTCCCTCTCAATCCCCGGATTCACAGCCCCCAGGAAGCCCCCCACTGGTCTGCCACTTCCCGGCCCCTGCCCCACTGGAGACCCCCAGACACAGAGCCAGGCCATGCAGCACATTGAGCAGAAGGGGTCCCTAAAGAAAGGCCTGGGCCCAACCCTAGAGCCCACCACCCTCAGCCACAAGGCCAGAAACAACCAGAGCCCTCGGCAGCCAGCCCCCAGCCCCCAGCCCCCAGCCCCCAGCCCCCAGCCCCCTTCACGGGCCAGCTTGCGTGGCCTCCCCTGCCTGTGTCCACTCACCCCACACGGTCCTCACTCCTATATACCCCAAAGCTGCTTGCCAACACCCCTTACACAGCCACCCCCAAGCTGCTGCTGCTTGGCACCCACTGGGGGATCCGGGGTGAGGACACGCCTCACCTGAGCTCACTGCCAGGTCCAGGCAGGCAGTTCCGGCCGGCCCACCAGCAAGGTGCCACCTGCTCAGGCATAAAACCCCGGGATCCTGGCCAGAGGCAGCTCCTGCAATTGTTGGCCATGAAGGGAAGCAGCACCCTCCTGCTTGCAGCCCTCACCATGCTCTGCGTCTGCGGTGAGTCTGTGCCGCTGGGCAGGCGGCAGACACTGTGCTTCTAGCACGTTCTGTGGTAGGGGCTGGGGATACCTGGGAAGCTAAAATCCCAGCATCAGGCCCCTGCAGTGGACGCTCTGCCTGCCCCCATCACAGAGGTGGGCAAGGACCCTGCTGGCCCCAGCCCCCACCCAACCCCACCCCAGCCCAGCACAGCCAGCCCTCCGAGCCCCAGGTCAGACCAGCCTCACATCAGGGGCCCAACTCTCCTTCTACAGGGATCCCAGGGAGCCTGACTGGAGATGGGGCAGCTGAGATCAAGGGTGAAGGGGGGTCTGCAGGCAGGTAGGGTTGGGGTGTGGTGGAGGAAGATGTGGAGGTGAAACGGGCATTGATGGGGAGACCACAGCGGCTGGAGCCCTGGCCTGGCGTCATCTCCCCGTGACACAGGGCTGGCCACAGCAGGGGACAACGATGAGTTTTTCATGGACTTTCTGCGAACACTGCTGGTGGGGACCCCAGATGAGCTCTACGAGGGGCCCCTGGCCAAGTACGACGTCAACGAGGATGCCAAAGCAGCGCTGGTGGAGCTCAAGTCCTGCGTCGACGGTCTGCAGCCCGTGCACAAGGAGGAGCTGGTCAACCTGCTGGTACGGGGCTGGGGCACCCATTCCCTGAAGTCCTGTGGCCCAACCGAGACCCACCCAATGCAAGGCCCCCGGTCGCCTGCCCAACACAGCAACCCCACAGCCAACGACCCCACAGACACCCCGACCTGCCTCAGCTAGACCTCCCCCCGACAGAGCAGCCCCCAGACTCCACAGACCTGCTCGCCCTTCAGCCTGTGGGCTGCTCCCTTGCACAGGTGTGCACGCACACAGATGCCAACACACAGGTGCAGACATACAATGCACACTGCAGGCACACACTTACAAATACACACTCACACATGCATGCTTACACTGCAACATGCACATGTACAAACAAACACACACGTTCACGTGCAGCCTATGCACACACATGCAACATGCATGCACACAGTCACGCATGCACACATGACACCTCCCAGCTGCTGGAAAGGGATGGGCCACCTTGTGCCAGAGCCCACCCTCCCCCAGAGGCTGGCCCAGGCCTGTCTGCCTGACGGCTCTCGGGTTATTAATCACCAGCTGTCTTGGCCCACACGTATCTGCCTTCCAGGTGCAAGTGCTGGGCAATATGGATGATGCCTAAGTGGACCCCAGACGTGGCTCCAAGCAGCCACAGGACCATCCACACAAGCAGCCCTGGACACGCTGCCCCACTACTGCTTCTCCACGTGTAAATTTACCCTCAAACTGTTTAATCAATAAAGCTTTCTGCAGCTCGGGCCCTGGCTGCTGTCTCTTGCCCACTGACACACAGTTCACGTCAAGAACTCACGCAAGGATGCGACCACACCTGCAGACACTCGTGTACAGTCTCACACACTCAGGGTCCCACTCGAGCACGCACGTGGACGTCAGCCCACACAGAGAGGTGCACAGAAGCAGGGTCCACACGGGGGCAGGCACACAGTGGGCAGGACTCAGAATGGGAAATCCAGCAGACGCCAAGAAGCAGAGCACAGACACAGGAACCACGTGGACACGGGAGGGAGAGGGTCTGCAGAGGCAGCGGAGGAGGCAGGAGGGGCACAGAGCCCCAGAAGGAGGAAGTGTCTGGGCTGGGCAGAGACACGGGGCACCAGCCACCTCACTCCCAGGGCCAGGCGGGGTGGCTGGCATCCAGAAGCTGGTGTTCCATGGCAATAGCTGTGCATAGAACTGTGCCCCGTGACACAGGCCACCGATGCCCAGGTCCAGGGGCAGATGCCAGAACCTCTCTGCCCAAAGTCACCCAGGGAAATAGTCTGCCTAGAAGAGCCTGAGCCCCAAGAGGACCTGATAAGGTCGAGAAGAAAGTGCACCTACCCAGGACACCCAGAATCCTAGGGGTGGGCTGGGGAAGCAGGCAAGCAGGGTCTGAGAAAGGCGAGCGAGGGTGACACCTCCCCACAGACGCTCACCCCAACCCTGGGTCCCAGGATCCCCCACAGCCGAGAACTTCCTGTGCCTTAGTTTCCCCAGCCCCATGGTCTCTACTGGGGGTGGAGCTGAGTGGGGTCACCACCCTCACTCCTTGGCCACCCCTGCTCTAGGCCCTGTGACCTCACTGCCCTGCTGCTCCCTTCCCCACTTCTGTCCCACTCCAGCCTGGTGGGGGGGCCCGGAGATGGAGCCCCGGGGAGGGGGTCCCCGTGAGGGCATCCCGGAGAGGGGTCCCTGGGAGGGGTCCCGGTGAGGGCGTCCTGGTGAGGGCATCCCGGTGAGGGGATTGGTGAGGGGCCTGGGCAGAGGCCATTGTCCGCATCACACAGACAGTAGTCTAGAACCTACTGTCCCACAGAGCCACATTCTAGAGCTCAGGGGTGGGGACCCCTCCCCAATTCTCGAAGCCCCCAGGGCGAGACAGGGGCCCTTCTCTCCATGCTCCTTTTGTGGCAACTCCCTGGCACGGAAGCCCAGGGGACAGACCGTCCCAGGGGAGGCTGGGTCTGTAGGCTGCTCTGAGCGCGGCTCCCGCACAGAAGAGGTAAAGGTCCCCTCTCCAGAGCACAGCCTCAGCCAAGACGTTCCCCATTGTCGCCTGCCCACGCCTCGCTACGGTCCTCTTGCTAGGCCCCCTTAGAGCCAAGGGGGTGGCCAGTTGAGGGCCGGAATGGACAGCCCCTCTGGGCGTGTGCTGCAGGATCTGCCCCACTCCCTGGCTCCCAGCTGGAGACCCCCTTGGGGGACACTGAGGCAGGCCTGCCCTGTCAGTGTCAACAGCAGCAGGGGTGGGGGCAGCGGAGCTGGCAGGAGACAGGGCAGGGGCTTTCCAGCACCTGGTCACAGTCTCACCCACCGACAGAGCCGGCCATGGCGGAGGAGGTGTGGGTGGGCACCTGGAGGCCCCATCGCCCCCGGGGGCCCATCATGGCCCTCTACAGCAGCCCTGGACCCAAGTACCTGATTCCACCCACCACGGGTAAGAGCTGAGGGCCTGCGGGGGGAGCCCTGAGGGAATGGGGGGATGGGGGGCCTGCGGGGTCCAGGGGGCCTCGGGCACATTCCCTGACATCCACCGGGGAGAAGGCAGGTCGGGCTTCAGGCTGCTCAGCGCCCACCGGGCCCACAGGCTTCGTGAAGCACACGCCCACCAAGCTGCGTGCACCGGCCTACAGCTTCCGAGGGGCCCCCATGCTCCTGGCAGAGAACTGCTCCCCAGGGCCCCGCTACAGTGTGAACCCCAAGATACTGAGGACCGGCAAGGACCTCGGCCCTGCCTTCTCCATCCTGGGGCGCTACCACACCAAGACCATGCTGAGCCCTGGCCCGGGTGAGTGACCCTGCCTCAGGCTCCTTACTTTGGACAGAGGGGCCTGCCCCTGCCTCGGCCCTGCCCTCTCCGTGGGTGGCAGATGCATGTCCCTGATCTCCTGTAGGTGAGGCAGGCCAGGGCGTGAGAGCCCTGCCACCCCGGCCCCTCCTGCCCCGTCTGCTCTTGAGGGGGCACCATCAGGCCTGGGCAGAGAAGCTTGGAGACCTAAGAGCCCAGCTCCAACCTGGGCCTTTCTCTGCCTGGTCCAGGGGCCAGACCCAGGCAGATCCCACTGTCCCTGCTCAGAAGCAAGCTTTGTCCCCCCAGGTCCAGTCTGTGTGTCCATCCTGGATGCCCCCAGCCAGACCCGGCCACCATCTGTGCTGGGGCCCAGAGGCTCCGTGCCTGGAATATCAAGGAGTCCTCCTTGAGCCCCCAAACCTAGCCAGGTCCCTTCGTTGTCCCAGCACCCTCCCGCTGCTCCTCCCCCAGGTGACTACTTTCCAGAGAAATCCACCAAGCATGTGTTCGACTCTGCACCCAGCCACTCCATCTCTGCCCGAACCAAGACCTTCCGAGTGGACAGCACCCCAGGTCTGTGGCAGCCCAGACAGTCCCCAGCCGACTGGACTTGGGGGTCTGGGATGGGGTGGGTGAGACAGGGCAACGCAATGGAGAGAACCCCAGGGAAGGAGCCTGTGGTCCACTCTGGCCTGAGGCTCTGCGTCCACCCCGCAGGCCCCGCCGCGTACATGCTGCCCGTCGTGATGGGGCCCCACACCGTCGGCAAGGTCTCCCAGCCCTCCTTCTCCATCAAGGGCCGCAGCAAGCTGGGCAGCTTCAGTGATGACCTGCACAAGGCAAGGGTCACCCCAGCCAAGGGCAGAGCACTCCCCCCATGAGACCCCTCCCCTCGAACCCAGGACCACTGGCTTAACCCTGCCCTGCTGAAGCTCCTCAGCCCTCCAGCCCTGCCTCTGGGTCCCTGCCACGTGCTAGGTGACACTGCAGTGGTGGGAGGGGTGGAGAGTAGACCAGAGGGAAGAGGCCAGGCCCCGGGAGGCAGGGGCCGTGCTGAGGACGAGCAGAGAAGGATTTATGGAGCGCTGTCTGGAGGGGAGAGGCAGTCTTAGGGCAGCATGGAAGGAAAGAAAAAGAGGAGAAAATAAGCCACGGGCCACTTGGGGGAAGAAGGTTTTGGCTTTGGGAACAGCCAGTGCAAAGGCCTTGGGCTGGGTAGGTGCCTGGGGGGATTGAGGGGCCTGAAACCCATTGTTGACCTCGCCAGCCCAGGCCACTGCCCTCAAGTCCAACAGGCCGGTGTCCCCACTGGACAGGGCCACACACGCACACTCACACTCCAGAAGGGACGTCCCTGCCAGAGTGAGGCCGAAATCTCACACAGGGAAGGTGTCCCGCAGCAGGGGGTGTGGTCCCCACAGTGTGGCAGGAGACAGAAGGGGACCCTGATACACAGGCGCCGTCCCAGGCTGCTCCCCACCCTCTGGAGCCACGTGCCCTGGCAGGCCAGGCCCGTCTGAGCCCCCTCTGCCCCCCAGACCCCAGGCCCCGCAGCCTACCGCCAGACGGACGTGCAGGTGACCAAGTTCAAGGCTCCACAGTACACCATGGCTGCCCGGGTGGAGCCCCCCAGGGACAAGACCCTCAAGCCAGGACCCGGAGCCCACAGCCCTGAGAAGGTCTGGGAAGAGCACAGCCCCGGGGGGTGGGGGCACAGCCTGGGTGGGGCTGTGGGGGAGAGCGTGGTGGGGGGCATGGCCTACAGCCGTAGTCCCCAACCTTTTTGGCACCAGGG